GTTGTTGACGTTAACATGCATGGTGCTGTGACCAAGAGGATCCACAAGCATAACAAAATTCCATACCACATCTACAAAAATCAACAGGTTGTTAGAACAGGATTCAGTCCAACAAAACATAAACATAAACATTTTCAAATTTTCACTCTCCTAACAACTGTTGTTTCTTTTCCGCAAAAAACAAGTCTTTTAAAAATAATGCAGCACAATCACCAACCTGCAAGAAATATGAGAACATCCTTCATTTTTTTCCACATAGAATCTGCATTTTGGACATCTTCTCCAGCTTTTGTTCTTGGCAAGATCCAGCACCAGCAGATCTTCCCTCCCTCTCTCATCATGCTCCAAGGCGTTGAATTCACTGCAATCTATTCCTGCATGCCATGAAACCTTACACTGTTCACAAAACAATCTGTTACATTGTGGACACTCAGAAATAGTTACTATTTCTCCTTCATCACATATCATCATAGCTGAACAATCCTTGAAAGGACAGTAAAACTTTTGCGATTCAAGCACTACATTCTCACAAAGAGCATTTTCCCATCTATCAAACACTTCTTTAGGGATAATCGAACGACAGTTCTCAGGCTCTATAACCTCTTTGCATTTTGGCTCAGGGCATTTCACCATTGATATATTTTCCTGAATCTTTGCAGCAACATGTCCTCCAATGCAATCTACACAATAAAGGTGAGAACAGCTTTGGTTCTTGAACATTTCTTCTCCAGATTTCGCATCCATGCAAATACCACAGTAGCCATGGGAAGATTCACCGATATCTTTCTGTTTCCCCTTGAGCTTTCTCAAATGGTGGTCGCCGTCATCATCTTCGTCCACTATAACAACTTCTTTTTCAGCCCTAGCGCTTGACATTGCGGAGGAATGGAGGGCTTCCTGGAGTTGTAACTCTTCGGCATATTTCTCATCCGAAATTGGAAATATTTCTTCAGCATCGTGAAGTGCTGAAAAGTAGAAATCGTCAACAAAAGGATCTTCAGCAGTGGAGGAAACATTCCCAGATGCGTATGAAGTTCCCTCCATTTCAGAAGAAAATAGTTACATTCTCTCTGATATATATATATATATATATATATATATATATATATATACACACACACACACACATTTATAAGAGGATGATGTGAAGAAGAGTAGAGGAAATGAAAACATAGAGAATGCAAAAGGTGAACTGATACTGATACTCATGGGTCTTAAATATTTGACCGTTTTATTTTAAATGTTGCATGCAAAAAGGCAACGTTGGAATTTACATTACTATGAATGCCACTAGTGTAACGAACACACTACAATAAAGCATTAATTTCTCATTAGATTCTCCAAGGAACGTAATTATTTGTAGACCTCGCACCGGGCTTATCAAAATTTGGTGAATCTGCTTCAAAATTTTAATGTTACTCCACTTTGATTGGAATAAGCTTGTTTTCAAGTTAAAATAAAAATTAATTTCTTAGTATTATATTTTAGAAAGATTTAAATATATCATTATTAACATTTATAAATTAAATTTCATTTATTAATTATAATAAGATAATTTAATATATATTTATAATAATTATTTTAATTTATTGAATTGAAAATATTATTTTGTATATATTGAAGTTGAGCGAAAGAATATAAAAATAAAATAGTTTCCTTTGTATTTTTATTTTTTATTTTTTTCTTTTTTTACTCTTAACAAGTGTATGTTGGTTTCATTAAAGGAAAATCCTTTAATCCTTAAGATCTCATCACAAAACTCTTAAGTGAAATATTATTTACTCTTAAGGTACATATCAAATATTTGCTCTATAGGTTTTCTTGATTTATTTGAGACATCACCCAAATATCTTTTCATATTTAATATATAGGTTTTGTAACAAAATATTTAATTTAATAAATGTTTTAATTTAATAGAAAATCATTAATATTAGAAATTTTCTTAAAAAATATTATTATTACATAATAAAGAAAATTAGTTGATTAAGGACCAAAAATATATTTTATCTGTTTACATTCCCTTACAAAAGTTAAATTATTAAAATTAATTAAAGAAATAAGACATGTTTTCCTCATTCACAGAGTGAAACGATGCGTTTAAAAGCGCGCGGAGAAGAGGAGATGGGCAATGGCGGTGTTGTGTTTCTGGTCTTTTTCCCCAAATCGTTTTAGGTTTTCCAGAGTTTCTTATCTACCGTCACATTCCTCCATTTTCCATTTCGGTATCTAGCGAAATCAGATCAGTATCGTCCACCTCTCGAGATTTGCTACGATATTTTTTTCTTCAATTTATATTAACTATGGAATGGATTTTTTAAGTTGTTGGTCTATGTATAATTTGCAGCATCTTCTGTCGAAATTGTATAGAACAATAGATATTTTTGTTTTTATGATTGATTAGTTGACTAATCGGTTGCTAACAACTCTTCATAACCATGTTTTTCGGCATCCAATTTTCTTTGAATTTGCTTATTCTGGAAATAGAGTTAGATAGTATCGTGAAAACACTTTTTCTTAAGTTAAAATTTGATTTCCCGAATCATTTAGATTATTACATAATATTGCTGCTCTCTGCATCATCCTGATATCATTGTCCAGATAGTTAGTTCATTGTTTTTCATTTGGTTCAATGAATATTTTAATGTGTCGTGAGAAGATGGAATCTGATAATGATAAACACAATGCACGAAGGCGGTGGAATAAAACCACAAAACAAATTATTCTTCAGTACAATTCTGTCTTATTCTATTTTTATTTTTTTTATTTCTAATGGTGATTCTTGCAAAGTGATATTACAATACCAGATATTTCATTTCAACCACTCAAGCAACTATAATGGGCATAATTAGGAGTAGCTTCCTTTTCATTGCTGGGACGACGGTTGGGATTTACTTGGTTCAGAATTATCAAATTCCTAATTTGAGGAAGCTAGCAGACACTGCCTTGGTACATGCAAAGCAAGTTGAGGAGAAATATCGAAAGTCTAAGAAGAAGAAGGATGACGATGATATGATTAACCATAAATAGAATCATCACCTCCCCAGTCTGGAATTAGGTTCTGATTTAGTATCTTTTGAATATTTGTCCTG